GGTTTAGGTGTTTAGGGGCTTAGGGGTTTAGGGGTTTAGGGGTTTAGGGGTTTAGGGGTTTAGGGGTTTAGGGGTTTAGGGGTTTAGGGTTTAGGGTTTACGGTTTAGGGTTTAGAGGCTTAGAGGTTTAGGGTTTAGGGTTTAGGGGTTTATGGTTCAGGGCTCAGGGCTTCGGGTTTGGGGGTTAAGGGTTCAGGGCTTAGGGTTTACGGGTCCAACATAACTGAGGGGCCTGAATAATTAGAATGAGGCTTTGCATACATAGTGTAGTCTACATATAGCAGCGAACCCAACGAATTATCTTTGTAATTATGTAGGCTTTTATAGAAGGGATGACGTCCCCCGATGCAGGCATCCAAGTGGGTGTACACGTCTAGACGCTTTCGGCACGTCGAGCCCGGGTGTCACCGAACAAAAAGAATCAAAACTTAAACCGCACGGCAAACCCCAAACCCTAAACCCTAAACCCTAACTAAACCCTAAACCCTCAACCCCAATCCCTAACAAAACTTCAAACCCTCTACTTCAATTTCTAAGCCCTAATCCCCTAAACCCTAATCCCTAAACCCTAATCCCTGATCCCTAAAGCCTAATCCCTAATCCCTACACCCTACACCCTAATCCCTAAACCCTACACCCTAAACCCTCCACCCTAATCCCTAAACCCTAAACCCTAAACCCTAATCCCTAAACCCGAAGCCACAAACCTTAGGCCGGCCTGGGCACGCGACCCGTGAAGCCGGTCACCAGGCACATGCCGCGGAGGTCGCAGACCTCGGTGCGCGGTTTAGGGTTTGGGGTTTAGGGGTTTAGCGATTAGGGTTTAGATTAGGGTGTAGGGTTTAGGGATTAAGGGTTTAGGGAGTATAGGGTTTAGGGTGTAGGGTTTAGGGTTTAGGGATTAAGAGTTTAGGGAGTAGGGTTTAGGGTGAGTAGGGCTTAGGGTTAGGCCCTACCTTGGAATACCAAAACCTAGATCGCAAGGGTTAGTCTGATAAGGCTTTACAGGGCCTTATGGGTAGAGGGTTTAGATCGCTAGGGCTAGTCTTATAAGCCTTACAGGGCCTTATGGGTAGAGGGTTTACCCCTACATCGAAACAGCTACAATTCCAGACCTTTCCCTTGGGATCATGAGCTACTACAGTATTGCAAGGGCAGCCATAGGCTCATGACCTCCAGCTGTCTTAATTAACGGATCCTAATGCATTCCCCTAAGGTTCCATGTGCTCATATAGTATATACATTGGCCCCAAAGTACCTATATAGGGACTGCTTTAAGGCCAAAGTATATACTATTTAGGTACAGGGTTCTGCTCTCTCGGGGATCGGCTTCACGTTCGTCAGTGCTTTTTCCTTCCTAGACGGCGATTTCCCTTACAGCTGCTGAGGCTCCTCTCCGCTGCTTCCAGCCTAGGCTTCGGTTTAGGGTTTAGGGGTCTAGGGTTTAGGGGTTCTGAAAGGATTCCTGTATGCCCTCACCTTCCATGTAGTTCTACTGCGACTACGACCACAACGCCCTGAAAGGAGGCTTTGTAGAACCTTTACGGGAGACGGCCACAGCCGCTTTCATTTCGGGACACTCAACGGCCTGTATTCGCAGGCCCAGCGGATCCATACGGTTTGCAAACCAAAACACGGATGGTCTTTTTGTGAATTATAGAATGGTGATTCATACGGAGCCTCTCGGATGGCTCCTCTGTTTCTGTTTCTGAGGGCTTGATTACAAGTGAAGCCCAGATTGCTCGAGCAGGTTCCTGGTCGCTTGGGACTAGAATTACTTCTGACACTCCCCCCCCCTCCCCCTCTGAGGGAAGGGCACGAGAGTCCTCTTCGTCGTAGATGGGCTTGCAGTAAGGCTGCTTTCCCTGGCTCAGGGCTTGAAACACCTAAATCTGAACCCCAACCCCCAACCTTTGAAGACTAGACCTGAACCCTAAACCTGGAAGCCTAAACCTGATACTATACCCTAAACGCCCTGAGCCCGAAGGTTTCGAATCGAAAACCGCAGCTGCAACCCTGACGTCAATTTCAGGCTTTCGGGTTCCTGTCAGGGCTTGGGCCTTGGGGCTTCGGGTTTAAGCCTTAAGGTTTAGGGTTTGCGGGTTTCAGGTTTCGGTTAGGATTGAGGGTTTGAGGGCTTGGGGTTAGGGTTTAGGGTTTCGGGTAACCTTTTCTATGGCGGCTAGGACCTATCATAAGAAAACAAAGTAACCAATACAAGGTAGCACAGTCTTGGGTCAAGGGATACGGGCTCCCACACGATGACGGTTTCTGGTTCCGGTATCCTAGGTCGGATCAAGCCGGGTTAGATCAGTTTGATGCGGGTTGTGTTTACGTAGTTGAAGTAAGAACTATGTACCAAAAAGCTAGGCACCACGTCAGAAAGAGGATGGTGAAAGAGACAAGACCGACCTTTGACACCATCTCCAAACATGGCCGTGGGTGAGGCCACATGGTCATGCACCGTGTTGCCGCCACTCGCGCATCTCGTTTGGCAAACCCTAATAAGGGTCCATGTACTATGTAGTATATACATAGGCCCCAAAGTACCCAAACAGGGGCCACTATAAGGCCAAAGTATATACTATCTGGGTACATGGACCCTTAGGGAAATGCTTGGTATCGAGTCCCTGGCAGAGACACATTTGCTTGCTTTGCCAAAGCGCTCACCATGAGGACCAAGTTTGTAGCAAAAGCTAGGCACCATGTCAGAAAGAGCATGATGGCGATTGTCCGTATAGTTGGGGACTAATTGGCGGACTTAACTGGGTCTAAGTAAGGAGCAAGTTGGATGGTTTTTGTCTTTATAGGCTCTAGGCAGTACGAGAGATATCCACGACACACCGGCTTTTACGCTAGGCTTTTGCTCACGTCCAGCTTTTTTAAGTTAATTTTACAAAAACGTCCAGTTAGCTTCAAGGGGGCGAGGGAGGGACGATCCACGACGAGCATTGGATGAGTGTGCAGGAACATTACTGACAACTCTGCCTACTCACTACTCCTTCGTGTCTCTGAAACTCTCGTGACCCCTGAAGCCTGAACCGCCAAACCCTAAACCCTGAACTGCAACCCGTAAACTCTGAACCCCGGAGCTATAGGCCCCTGAGCTTCCCCTCAAACCCGAAGCCCTCGAGCATTAAATCCTCCTTGTCAAAAAGTAAGCCTGATCATCAAGCACAGCCCTGCGAAACCCTAAACTTTAAACCCTAAACCCTATAAGCCCTATAAACCCTAAACCCTAAACTCCCAAAAGATAGGTCCAAAACCGTCGGCCTCCGGCGGGGTCACCACGACCCAGCCAGAAACCACATCTTGGTGATTTGTGCACGAGGGGTTGCCTTGGCGTTGCTAGCGATGACACGTCTTATGATGGGTTTAGGGTTTAGGGTTTAGGGTCGGCTTATGAGAGCGATCAGGCTTGGGAGGTGGCGATCTATCGGATTTATAGGGCTTATCCCATGGCCTCTTCTTGAGATTAGGGTTCTAGGGTCTTGGGGACATAGCCCTAAAGCCCCAAACCCTGATCCCTAAACGCTAAACCCGGATACAGGGTTCTTGGAGGTCTTGATAGGGAGGGTTTCGGGGTTTAGGGCCTGGGGGTTTCACCGTTGAGGGCTTCGGTGTCCAGAGTTATGAGTTTAGGATTTAGAGTTTAGGCTTTGGGTTTAGGTGAGGCAGAGGCAAATTTTGTGAGTTGTGGCGGGATAGTTTTGGTGGTTCGTGTTCAGGGGACTACGCGGCTAGGAATGAACCTCACATGCAGCGTGAAAACTTCCAGAAGAAGTTCAAAAGCCTACCAAATCCTCAATGCAACCTGAAAACTGACTGCAAACCCCTCAAAGAAGTTGAAACGCTGATCAACTGATCAAAGCTTTTCGCCCTGGGCCCTAAACTTGACTCAACTTTTTTTTTGTGTTTTAGGGTTTCAGTTTAGGGCGGACACTCTTGACAGCGGCTGCAGGCTTCTTGCTCACCGCCTGGCCCTAGGAAGTGAGTTGGCTCGCCTCTCGTGTGGTAGTCGCATACCCTGCAGAAAGGGTTTAGGGTTTAGGGTCTAGGGTTTAGGGTCACCTGTCCAGCTCCGGAGCTAGTTGCGAGCTGTAGTGCCGCTGAAGCAGACAGGCTTCTCCTTTCAGGCACGCATGCGGCCTGCTCTCCATGTAACATGTATTGCTCGTTCAAGGAATGCCTTCGAACATTCCTTCGAACAAAATCTTACCTAAACGGCCAATGAAACCTTGATGCTAAACCGTGTCAACGCCGATCCGAGTCTTGAACCCTAAACTCGTAAAAGAACCTTAAGAGTACTCCTCCAAAGGCCTTAGCCCGAAATTCTGAACCCTAAACCCTACATACCTCAACAGCCTACTCAAGCCCTAACCCTGAACCCCAAACCGTCAACCCCTTCAAGAAACTTAAAAAACCTGCTCAAGCCTTAATCCTGGTCCTAAACTTCCTAAACCCTAAAACCCTAAAACCCTAAACCTTAAACCCTAAACCCCTAAACTCCTAAACCCTAAACCCTAAACGCCTAAACCCCTTAACCCAACCCTAATCCCTAAACGCCTAAACCCCTAAAGTAACCAAGCAGGGCCCCTGATCAAGTCTTAACTTCAGACACGACCTCTGGTATTCGATCCTGTCCTAGAGCATTCTGCAAGGTTAATGTTTGAGGGTCTCAGAAGAGGGCCAGAATGGGTTTCAAAACGGCTTCAAGAAACCCCAAACCCAAAACCCCTAAACCCTAAACCCTGATTAATGGTTGCTAGAAGGGGTTGCGTGAAGCTCTGGGGGGCTTGAGTACTGAGGGGCCTTATTCTTTAGAAGAAGGCTCGGGGGGGTATGTGGTATTGGTATACAGCGAACCGCAGAAAGTTGGAACGTGGATTTAGGATGGTTATTGCTAGGATCCCTTATGTCTTACCTTAAGTTCTACCAGGATAATGATGTTCCAACTTTCTGGCTTTTCACCTTAAAGCCTAAACCTCAAACGCTAAACCTTAAACCCTAAATCACTATAATGCGTGGAGACCATAAACGTCTGTCATCTCGGGGCTTTTGTGTGCCGCTGGGCTGAGGGATGAAAGCCGGCAGGACCAGGGGTTGAGGGTTTAGGGTTTAGAGCTTCGGGCTTAGGGTTAAGGGTTTAGGGTTTAGGGTTTAGAGTTTAGGGTTGGGGATT